AAGCTTGGATAACCACATTACGGAGTGCACGTTCTGAATGGCCCACCAAAATTCCTTGTGGAGCTTAGCATTCAAAATGCTTCTTTTAAAATTATACATTTTTCAGCTTCAGAACGTTGCCGAACCTGGAGTTTAGTTTACTAATCGCCTGTGCGTACACTGAAAACAAATATCATCAGCACTTAAGCCAAACATAGATACAAATAATTTGAGAATTTTTAAGCACATCTGTAGAAATCAGATGGCTTCCGAGTAGTGTATCGGTGAAACAAACATGTGTGTTTTCCGACATTGTTTCTTAATAACAAGGAAAAGTTTTTAGGAAAAATTGAATGCCAGACGGTATTTTTCACCAAACTTCCTGTCACTTATGCGTAAGCACGCGTTTGTCCACAAACACGCGGAAAGTGAGACTAACAGTGCTCCACTTTCAGAAATTTATGCACGAAAAAGTTTCCAACTTGCAGCAAGTCTTCTGCGTACACACCATGCTCGTAAGCGTGGTTGTTTGCTATGCGGTCAACAGTTAGTTTTTGCGGCCGATCCTGTGACGCCTTTTGATCCGCCCAGCAAGTAGATTTTTAGAACAAACCAGGCACATTCTTAATACCCACTCAGCCAAACTTCTTATCTGATTTTCTCGTTTCTCTGGACGTTGGGTTTACCGATTTCTGGATAGCTTACGGTATTTCACTTATCAACAGGGAACCTAGACTTGGTGAGCCGGTTCACATTCTGCATTCACCAGACTGACTACAAACTGACAGTCGGCTTTTGCAAAATTGACAATTTAGTAATACCGCAAAATATCTCAGGAATTTGTACCCTTCTTGGCAAATTATGCGAATGGATATCACATCAATAAATCGATCCAAATCGGAAGCAGCAGGTCACAACACGTTTCTCAGTGGAACTAATTTTATTTCGATTGCATGGCGACTTCAAATCTTACCCTCGATCGCTGTTGAGTAAATATGGATAGAGGATTATCGTGAAATCAGAAGTACACAACAACTGCTTGAGACAACAACAAAACCTGATTCCATTCAGGGTGCCATGTTTAGGTGGCCTTCCAGATAACTAACAGCGACATGTAATTTGCTAGCTTTTGACAACCGTCCAGTAGTTTATCATGAGTGGCGCCTCGGTTATTTTTTCCATCGATGCGCAGACTGTGACGGCTTACGAAGCATCAGTGTTGAATACGTCAAATTCAAAGTTACGGGGAAGAAATCTAATCCATTTTTTGTTTTCACATATGTCGCTTGGTTTGCCAGAGCCCACTAGTAGTTTGCGTAACTCAGAATAAGATGGGCCATATTATTTCCACGTAAAATCCGCCTTCTCCGAGTCCGATGAGTAACTTTCGGATTGTCACCACTGTCAAGTCGCAATTCACCAATGTCTTAGCTTCTGAAGTGCAATGCAAACAAACTGTCAGCGGCGGCTTGAAACTGCAAACGACCACTTGTGTTGAGATGAAATTGCTCACAGAGGCCTGATCTATATACCCCTCGTTGTCGATACTCCTGCAGTTTCATCTGTAGTTATTAGCGTAATCAGCATGTTTCTCTAGAATGCCTGGTTCAGGTTTGACCATGAGTTCCTTTTAGGGAACTGCGACATTATGAACTAGTGTACTTTTTGGAGAACCAGCTCCGAACGTGAAGGGACCATATAACGTCCCACGGAATAACCGGTCTTTTTGGGACTGACCTCCTGGTTGTTCTGCACTCGAACTTGGTTGATGAGTTAAGAACTTAGTATCACTTTTCGGCCCATTTGTACGCGACAGTGACAAAAAGGTCAGCCGGTTCGCAAGTTCATTGACAATCTCCGGTTTAGCCAAGCGCACCAGGCTATCAATGGACTATCCTAACCGGGGTTCGCGGTATTAAGAAGGTACCAGGATGATTGTGATCCACAAGAAGTAATTCACCTGTTCTATAAGACAAAACTTGTTCAACCTTATAATCTGTACTCTTCAGAAATGAGTGAAATCCACGCCCGCATTTCTTCAGGAAGGAGCTTGGCAAAATCTACGAAATTTGTTTGCCACTAATGGCTTACTTTCTGCCTTTGCAGCACCAATGTAACATTTGGCCTCAACAGGACACAGGAAAATGTTAAGGAGTAGAATTATTATGAATGTATTTCCCAGCAAGTTGAAATTTGTTGCCACTTTACTAGGGGACTGAAATGAGAGAGTGGGCATTTTGGCCATTGGGGAATGGTTAATAAAACTGTATATAAGTGATTGCTGATCACATAACTCACTGCTGAACACCATATCAAGCTAGCAGATTAACAACCGCTTTAGAAAGCGATTAACTTCGGACGCCCAGAGCCTGCGGACATTAAGAGGTCCATCGGCTGGTGTGTCCTCATGCACACTAAATCAACAGATCATGCATCATTGGCATTTCAGCGAACCCTGTGGATTCACGTGCGTGGTTTGAAGAGAATTGAACGTGCTTCGGACAAGCGGAGAAGCCCGCTACAAAACTGTTAATATACTGGGTGTCGTGCTCAAACCATATAGCGTCGCGAAAGTGCCAATGGGTGGGGGGTGCCGATAAATTGAACTGTATTAGTTGCACTCAAGTTGTGCCCTTGGGTCGATACAACAAGAACTGTGGAAAACGCAAAATCATTTTGTTTATAACCTTAGAATATTCCACAGGGCCTGATTTTCGTAGCACACATTACCGTACAAAGTGTCGCAAAAACCATTTTTTGTAAATTCAGCGTATACTTAATGGTAGTTTAGTTAAGCCCATTGAAGTCGGGATGCGAAACCTGATTTGACTGCTTGCTGAACAGTGTTGTTTCCCGTTCGCGTATCGAATTCAGATGTGCTGGCAATGTGCATAGCAAAACAGCATAGGTGGAACCTATGTTGGTGAAGCTCTACCCAAAGCTTTCGCGGAATTCAATATGTTTGTGGATGTCGGTCATCTCACGCTGATGTCAGGCTTGTCACAGCGAATGATTCCGAAGCTAACTACTATTCTATTGTCATGTATTATCGAAATATTACTATACCGGTCATGAGTGCATGAATCACTTACAGCAGACAACATATGTTTAAATTGTTCAGTCGAAATGATGAAACCAATCAGATACCAAAATGGCCTCCCAAAGTATTTAAACCTTCGTGAGCAAAATGGGCTAGTTTGGAGTGCCCTCGTGAGAGGTACGCATTTAGTCAACACACCAGTTTGGCCAGCTGGTTGCGATCCCGTGGGATATGCATGCAGTGACAAGATGAATCAATAATGCTATAAAAAGCCACATAGGTGCACGCATTTCCCAAAATAAAACTAATTTGACCTGGTGTTGGTGTAAAACACATTTCTTCGTGTATTCAAAAGGAGTCTGAATGCTGGACCGCCATAATTGACCGAATAACGTTCTTTTTTCTAGCCACGTCGGATTGCATCGCTTTGTTACCGTGGAACGTGTAATTACTCTTCTGGTTACAGCCAAGAACGAAGATATATTGGGCCCTAATTTACCTGGCCTCCGATGGTCAATTAATATGAACTATCGTACAAGGTACGTTCAACCAACTACCAGTATTACTGCAATCGAATATTTATTACAAACTTTACCCGTGGCATAAAATGTACTATTGCGTGCCATAAAAGTTCTTCCCTGATAACGCACCATACCACAAAAAGCAGTGCAACCGTTTAACAAATCATGTGGCAAGGCACATTTCTAAAGAACCAACTTCAAATGAGCGAAACCATTATCAAGACATCCAGCACGGGGAAATATGGGTCCCATGTGGCACATATCCAAAACATGAGTAGTGGTGACAGCAAAAGGAAATCAAATACTTGCTATTTAGCAAGTATTTTACGTCCGGATGTCAACCGGTAAACCTGAAGTTCCACTTGTTTTTGTCTAGTTAGTATACTTGTAAGAACTTGAATATACCAGATTTCCCTATGGTTTTGGCCAATTAAATTCTAGATACGCTCTGATGGGGCTTAATCTGGTCAGTACCAAAGAGTACTAGAAACTTTTGGAAACTTCTCACCAGACGTTTCGTATCTTCTTAGCTTACGGATTAGTTGACGGCGGTAAATTTTTGTCGCTTTTATAACACGTGAACTACGAAGGATGTATTTGTTTATCCACCCAGTCACTGGTACGCAAACCTGATTTGATTGACTAAATCGAGAATTGTCTCTATGTGTTACTGAGGTTCAACTGCAGGCATCGAATGAATTCGAAAATATTCCGAATGTGACTGTTCGTCATGCTAATTAGTTTGATTTGGTATTATGGAAACAAAAATGGACTGGAGGTTTAGTCCCCACTCAACCTGTAACAAGCTTTGCCCCTATCGGGTAACGACATCTTCGTAGTATTTTATTAGAATTTGAGATTTGCTCTTTTTGGTGTTGAGTGAGTGACACCTTGATTGCAGTGTAATCATAGGTTGCCAGTTTATTAATCTGTGGGACTACCACATATATACATATTTCCATCATATATCCTAGTGACTAGATAAATTCGGCAGGGACTAGCCAGCGAAGGTTTCTCTCGAAATTTCATAAACAGATCGGCTAGTACAAACGTGTTGTATAGGAAATCCAATAAAGTATTCTTCATTCTGCCCAACCTTCCTGATTGACTAGAAAATAGAAAAACCAATAGGGTAAGATGTCTGATTTCATTACAATGCGCTGAGCCACTGAGAGTAAATCCATTTCCTTTGTACCCTTTTTAATTTGATGACTGATCACTGGTCTGGCTGCCAATCACAAAAGAAAAAGGCGGCTAAATTCTTTAATATATTAAAACGGACATATCTTGCCCAGATCAAACACAACTTCACCAGACGATGATCACCATGATACTTCATAAACAAGAGATTCAGCTGGGTTCCAGGTGAGGTTTTGTCAAAACTAAATTTGTAAGCATATGGGTGAATTTCGCTAATGGTGAGCAGTTTCCTCAAGATTCAACAAACCCTTGCTCCTCACTGCCGATCCGATTTGCGGCTGCACATGTGATTTTTGATGTGGTTGGCTGCGGTTACAGGTAACCGTTCTAAAGATTAAATGGAGTAATATTATTTGATCTCACTGATCGGGAGACTGACCAAGTTAGTCATTTGCAAATCACCGAACAAAAGTGGAGGATTAACCTGCCAACCGTGCTCATTTGACAGAAGTACGAGTTAAAACTCTAGAACGTGAAGACTGCCGGCTTCATTTTGGAGAGTGTTTGGTGCCTGAACTAATCATATGGAAACTTGAATGTAAATGTGCACAGAGGAAGTCATTGCGTAACTAATTACTCGTAAGTCTAGCGAAATACCTCCTTTTCAAAATAATTTGATTTTGGGGGGGATGACGAAAGTTTGCTTAAAAGTCATTGGAGGCCCACGACCGGCTTTGCTCTTCTACAAGTTCAACAAACAGGCGCCGACCCGAGATTTAATCAGACCCATGCTCGAACTAAGCATTTTTTTACACAGTTTGACAACTACCCTCTTGTGCACAATCATTTTTGCTACAAGACTTAAATAAATGCAGCTGAATTTCCTGTTTGTTGTGATCCACTCCAGGTAAACGTGTCACAACTGTTCGCTTGTTTTTCAGCTCTTAAAATGTCAGGTAAATCCTGTTTAAATTGTGTTTGTGTGCAGAGGGAGACTGAGGTCAGCTTATACTAATTTTGTTGTTACCGATGCGCTTCTGAGCAAGACCGTTGAAGATCGACGATGATGCAAGTAACACAATCTTTAAAATGTCAATCCTGTTTAAATTGTGTTTGTGTGCAGAGGGAGACTGAGGTCAGCTTATACTAATTTTGTTGTTACCGATGCGCTTCTCTTCTGGACCGTTGAAGATCGACGATGATGCAAGTAACACAATCTTCAGCGCAATGTTCCTCATTAATGCTGGAGACTTGAGCACTTTTAATGTGGAACTGATTGACTTGTTTCGTAAGATTTTCTTACGTGTCTCACGTTTTGTGGCTTACAGTGGTGACCCTCACTGCGAACTGTATTTTGTGTCTGCCGCTAAAAACGTGCAATCGAGAGGTGTTTTTCCGCCTCAGTGAACGCCATTTCGGTAATTTTTCGAGCAGGACAGTTAGTAATTAGCCACATGACAAATCGTAAGAATTTCAGTCCTTCGAGTAGAAGACTCAGTTGTACAAATCGCGAAATATTTCACAAAGAACAAGCACAGCAGAACGCAGAGTTGCCTAGTCGGTGAGTGACTGAACGCAATGGATTACAAATTCGTAGACAAAAAATAGAAAAATACCGCTTTCAAAATTGCGGGATTAGCACATTCAAGGTAAATCAAGGTAAATCAAGGTTATATTGGTGTGAAAAGCATTTTGCTTTACAATGACCAAAGGATATTGGTGTGTGTGTGTATGTATACATATAAACGGAATGATATGACATATATGTTCTGTTGTTTGTAATCTGCATCTCAAATGTGGATGAGGGAAGTTGGGTGAGATCTTATGTATTCGTCAAGCGAATGCTTGAAAGTCTCGAGGTTACCACAATCCACAACAGATGTTGGTAGTTTGTTCCACGTGAGGGATACGCGGACTGAAAAAAAGTAGCGCCGACAGTTAATGCGGGAACATGGAATGTCAACGGCCAATGGATTCCGTCGGGTCTGTCGGGCCAAATTAACTGTGAACAAATGTTTTAAAGGGTGATTAGGGGTGTTTATTATCTTGAACATCAGGATGAGGTCTCCTCGTATACGCCGATAAGTTAAATCAAACAAATCGAGTTTACGTAGCCTTTCACTGTAGGGAACGTTTCGGAGGCCAATGACCAGCTTGGTCGCGCGGTGGTAGATACGCTCTAGCAGTTGTGTATCCTTTTGCAGCCATGGAGACCAGGCTTGGATCGCGTATTCCATTGTCGGCCGGAGATATGTGTTCATGATAATAGGGAGAATTTCAGGCGTAAAACGATAAAATATTCTCCTAAGCATCCCGAGCAGTGCCGAGGTCTTGCGATATACTGATAGACAGTGTTTACTCGGCTTCAGGTTGCTAGAAATCCAGACGCCGAGGTCTTTTTCCTCAGCCACCCATTCCAGTTCATTGGATCCCAGTTTGTATGGGAAGTGCTAGCTCTTCCCCAGATTTATGAGTTTGCATTTCTGGAAATTCAGCGGCAGCCGGTTTTGGATGGACCATTCGTCGATTCTTTGCAGATCTTGCTGTAGCGCATCACAATCAGCCTTTCCATGAATTTCAGACCAGATTTTTATGTCATCAGCAAAAAGTACGGTTTTGCACTGCAGAAGTTTCGGCAGGTCATTCATGTATACCAGGAACAAAATTGGACCAAGAACCGAACCCTGAGGGACACCACTTGTGGCGGCAATTTTATCGGAAAACGCTCCATCGACACGAACTTGGACCGAACGGTCACTCAAATAGTCTTTCAGCCAGCTCAACAGATTTCCCGTCACGCCATACATTTCAAGTTTCCGAAGAAGGATACTGTGATCGACTCGATCAAAGGCTTTGGATATATCCAAGTAACAGGCATGTACAGTAACTCCCGCATCGACTGCTCGTGTCCAGTCATCGAGTGTCACGAGGAGATTGGATAAACAAGAACGATTCTGTCGAAATCCGTGTTGTTTATCGCTCAACAAGGAGTGAATTTCAAGGTGCGATTTCAGGGCTTCTGCTATAATTCGTTCCATTACTTTTGATATTACTGGGAGAAGAGTGACAGGTCTGTAGTTAGATGCACACGTTCTGATACCTCCTTTGAATATGGGGGCTATTATCCCGCATTTCCAATCCTCTGGTACCAACCCTTCTTCCAGAGAACTAGCGAACAGTTTAGCCAGAGGATAGCTAAGTGGTTCAGCGCAGTGGCGCAGAAGCAGTGGTGTAACGCCATCCCCACCAGGTGAAGTGTGTACCTGTAAGCCGCGAAGGTGTTTGACAATGTTAGCCCGATCAATATGCACGTCCGATAAAGTTTCGTCCGTTAGTACCTCCACAGTTTGTATAGGAGCGCGGGTATCTTCAGGAGAAAACACGGAAGCATAAAATGTAGCAAGGGCATTAGCTGTTTCAAACGCATTTGCAGTCATTCCCGATTCTGTCTTTATGGCAGATATACCTGGTTTAACTTTAGCCTGCACATTCACGAATTGATACAATAGTTTGGATACAAGCCCCAACACATGCTTGGGCACTTCTGACAGAGACACAAGTGCCCAGTAGGTTTAATTGTGTACTGACCGTTCAGCAGCTAGAAATTCAGACGAATAATGAATAAGCTTACGAGTATGGTGCAAGTGGTATACGAGTAGATATTAGAACTTACTGTGCGGGCCAAGGTCTTCCATATCCATCTCTGGAGACAACAAATGTGTGAATTAAACTGATTGAATTGGTGCTACCAAACCGGTGGTTAGCATCTGAAATGCCGAGCTTAACACTACGAAATGATTGTACTAATCTAGCAAGAAGTACCCTCACTTTTATATCAGGTGGATTTTGATCTGTTCGCCGTGCCTGGTAATTGACTTGCAAACGTTTCGTTACCATTAGAGGGATATTCTCAGTGCACATTTGGGTGGATACGTCCCATTTGCATCCGTGCATTCACTAGGTATTCAAAGTCACTTGGTGTAATTTCTGGTCCGTTTGCGTTCATGTTTGCATTGTGGTTTGCTTTTCATCAAGTGGACTGGTCAACCCGATCATTTCTTTTTCAGTGAACTTCTCCTCCGTTTCGATTTGCCTCTTTCTTGATTCGCATTGGCGAAACGTTTGCAAGAAGATTGCCATGTTCTGTGGTGGCCAACAAAAAATAAGCTCATCCGAGCTACCATCATTATGATGCATTGCCTCCCCTGTCCACATTTATTATTTTCTTCACACTAAGTCTTTCAAATAAATCATAGCTGCACGCAGTGAAGCATTGGTATTTAAAAATCATATCATGCCGCTGATAATGATGAGCTTGACACTGATGATGATGATGATGAGAATGATAGTGATGATGATGATTATGGTGATTCGGTGGTAATCTCGTATGCGCCCTGGTTTGGATGGAAAATCCCCTCTAACAGAACATTTTAGATGATTTCGCTGTTACATATTTCGCGTTTAGCTTTAGTCTCGTGTGAACTGGTTTTTGAAGTACTTTCCTAGCCGTTGTGAATGGAAAAACAGTAATTCATGCGGGTGAATGCATTTACCCCGGTGGCAGCAGTGTACTTTGTCAGAATGTGCTAAACCCGCAAGTTTGAAAGCGGTAGCCTTCTTCTTTTTGACTACGAATTTGTAATCCATTTCGTTTAGTCACTTACTAACTAGTCAGCTCTGCGTTCTGCTGTGCTTGTTCTTTGTGAAATATTTCGCGATTTGTACAACTGAGTCTTCTACCGCGGGACTGGAATTCTTACGATTTGTCATGAGGCTAATTACTATCACTTCTGCTCGAAAAATTACCCAATTCGCGTTCAGTGAGGCTGTAAAACAACTGTCGATCGAAAGTGTTTAGCGGCAAACACAAAATACATGTGTTTTATCGACTCACCTATACCTGCGCAGTAACGCCCACCATTGTAAGCTACAAAAAGTGAGATACGTTAGACAATCTTACGAAACAAGTCAATCAGTTCCACATTAAAAGAAGTGCTCAACAGCATTACTGAGGAACATTATGCTGAAGATGGTGTTACATGCATCAGCGTCGATCTGCAACATTTTCGCTCAGAAACGCATCGGTAACAACAAAATTAGTCTAAGCTGACCTCAGTCTTTGACAAATCTTTTCGACAGATACGCTCACTCTCTGCACACAAACTCAATTTCAAAAGATTTTAGCTGACATTTTAAGAGCTGAAAAGCAAGCGACCAGCTGTGACACGTTTACTTGGAGTGGATCACCACAAACGGGAAATTCAGCTGCATTTATTTAAATCTTCTAGCAAAAATACTTGTTTGTGCACAAGAGAGTAGTTGTCAAAATCTGTAAAAAATGTTTAATTCGAGCATCAGTCTAATGAAAACTCAGGGACGGCGCCTGCTTTATGAACCTGTAGAAGGGCAAAGCCGGTCGCCGGATTCCGATGAATTTTCAGCAGACTTTCGGCAAACCCCAAAATCAAATTAGTTTGCAAATAAGTGTATTTCGCTAGACTTACGAGTAATTTGTTACGCAATGATTACCTGGGTGCACATTTACATTCAGGCTGCCAATTGGTTAGTTCAGACACCAAGAAACTCTCCAAAATAAAGCTGACAATCTTCACGTCCTACAGATTTAACCCGTACTCCTGTCACATGAGCACGATTAGCAGGTCAACTCCTCCACTTTTGTTTGGCAAATGACTAACTTGGTGAGACTCACGATCAGTGAGAGCAAATATTATTAATTCATTTAAAGTTTACAACGGTTACCTGCAACCAACTAATCACATCAATAATCACGTGTGTTGCCGCTAAAAACAGACTGAGCCTAAACGCGAACTGGTGGTTCGCATTCCTCTGCGACCAACTGAATTGTATTTGAGTGGGGAGTTCATTTAGCCACCCACAGGGTATATCGTACCGAGTTGCTCAGTGAGTAGAGATCTGGCGAACATGGTCTCCTAGTTTGCCAGGTTGGAACAACTACAGTGACTTGTTTCTTAAAGATACTTGTATGTGTGTAGTAGAGCCAGATAGAATGGGTGCCCTGGCATCAGACAAATTTCGTATACAAACAAGTTAGAACCAAAACTAATATCACGCCACATTCGAAAGGCTAACAGAACCCATGCTCCAGTTGATGGCCTTCTTGCACACTTTCCGTTTTACCTCGTCAACCCTACCCCAGCCCGATTTAAATGTTGTGCCCAGAGGTTCCAGTATTAGGGCTGACCGCTTTGTTTGTCATGCATTATACTCAGCTGCAGCTTGGTGCATTCGAGTTCACAACAAATTGGAACACCTGTATTTTTTTTAGTCAAACTACGAAACTAGTCTACATAACTAGCATTATAATTCGTACGCGGAGACTAGCTCTTGCACCCACACTAGAGCAGAACACAAGCTTTGCTGAATGAAATGAACACTACTTTATTGGACTTACGGAGTGCATCTTTCTGATTATCAGCGTGCAGTCTTTGGGCATGCTTCTTGGAATTAATGGAGTAGCAATGGAGAATTTTGCCTACCTCGGTAGTTGTACTAGCACTGACTTGAACGTCCGAGGTGATCAATGCATGAACCTTGGTGTTAGGATGCTTGTTTGCTGATTCGAGTCGCGTGAGGTGTCAAAACAGGATGCCACTGGACCTTCGTTAACGCAGGTTTCCGGCCACGTCAACGGCTGCATCACTATATGGTTGCGACGCATGAATTTTTCGGACGATGTTTCAACGTAGTCTACCTTCCCTGACTTCTCAAAAATCTTGCTGGTGGCAGGTGCCGTCGCCGAACTGACAACATTTCCGGGTGCCGTCGACGACAACATCACGAGGTATTCGAGAAACGGTCAATTGTTTGTACAGAATGTACTTTAGTCACGGAAAACATCCATTGCAATGAACTCAGGTGACGCGGCCTTATGCTACGCATGTCAACACATTGTCTGCTGAGACGAGTGTTTTCCGTGCCTCATTCCAACAGCGAAAACATCGGGATGGACAACATGTGATATGACGAAATTGTGTGAGAGGGATTACAGTATCTAGGCGGTGTTGGTGCGTTACACATTCCAGTACAGGGGCTCCAACAACCTCTTCCATGAGCCTGGCTTTGGGAAAAACGACAAACAAAGCCTAACCAATGTCGACGGCGTTCGTGCAATCAGGTTCGTTCCAGTTTGACTACTTGGGAAGATGTAAGCACAACAACAAGTTGACAAAACATCCCGCCTACCTTCATTCAATGTTTTTTACTTTCTCTTCTCCACAGT